CCCCTGCTCAAGAAAGCACATATAAAGGCCCGTCTGAAGTTTGCCAATGAACATCTGAATGATTCAGAGGAGAACTGGGTGAAAGTGTTGTGGTCAGATGAGACCAAAATCGAGATCTTTGGCATCAACTCAACTCGCCGTGTTTGGAGGAGGAGGAATGCTGCCTATGACCTCAAGAACACCATCCCCACCGTCAAACATGGAGGTGGAAACATTATGCTTTGGGGGTGTTTTTCTGCTAAGGGGACAGGACAACTTCACCGCATCAAAGGGACGATGGACGGGGCCATGTACCGTCAAATCTTGGGTGAGAACCTCCTTCCCTCAGCCAGGGCATTGAAAATGGGTCGTGGATGGGTATTCCAGCATGACAATGACCCAAAACACACGGCCAAGGCAACAAAGGAGTGGCTCAAGAAGAAGCACATTAAGGTCCTGGAGTGGCCTAGCCAGTCTCCAGACCTTAATCCCATAGAAAATCTGTGGAGGGAGCTGAAGGTTTGAGTTGCCAAACGTCAGCCTCAAAACCTTAGTGACTTGGAGAAGATCTGCAAAGAGGAGTGGAACAAAATCCCTCCTGAGATGTGTGCAAACCTGGTGGCCAACTACAAGAAACATCTGACCTCTGTGATTTCCAACAAGGGTTTTGCCACCAAGTACTAAGTCATGTTTTGCAGAGGGGTCAAATACTTATTTCCCTCATTAAAATGCAAATCAATTTATAACATTTTTGACATGCGTTTTTCTGGATATTTTTGTTGTTATTCTGTCTCTCACTGTTCAAATAAACCTACCATTAAAATTATAGACTGATCATGTCTTTGTCAGTGGGCAAACGTACAAAATCAGCAGGGGATCAAATACTTTTTTCCCTCACTGTATGTATACTGTAGCTAAGAAAGTAATACCAAGTGTATGTTGTGTAGTAAGCTGTTAGTAGCCCATGTGCCTCACCCAAATAATTTTGCCAACTGTTCTGACTTGGTGGTGCACAAGTAGCCTATAACCTGTTTTAGAGAAATGTCATCATCGAATAGTGTAAGAGCTTTCATTGTCTGCTTATATGCCCCCTTTATTTATCCTACGGTTCTGACTTGTGGTACAGGGAGAACACTGCAAGAATGGCCCATGTTCTGAATTCTGTCGCTGTACATTTCAAAAGTGCTGAACAAATAGTTATATTGACTACGTCCGTCCTAGCTCGCTCATTAATGTCTTAATCAAAATTACGGATTGCCTATATATCTGCTTGTCGTCCCCTTATGCCATAGTTTGTACATTTCAATTGTCAGTAGAAGCCACATTTGTTTAAGCAAGTCAGCCATATCTCTTCATTCAAAGACTCAATCATGGACACACTTACTGACAGTTGTGGCTGCTTTGCGTGATGTATTGTTGTCTCTACCTTCTTGCCTTTGTGCTGTTGTCTGTACCCAATAATGTTTGTACCATGTTTTGTGCTGCTACCATGTTGTGCTGCTGCCATGTTGTGTTGCTACCATGTGGTTGTCATGTGGTGTTGCTACCATGCTGTGTTGTCATGTGTTGCTGCCATGCTATGTTGTTGTCTTAGGTCTCTCTTTATGTAGTGTTATGGTGTCTCTCTTGTCGTGATGTGTGTTTTGTCCTATATTTTTGTTTTGAATCCCAGCCCACGTCCCCGCAGGAGGCCTTTTGCCATTTGGTAGACCGTCATTGTAAATAAGAATATCAGCTATTTTTTTTTTTAAAAGGCAGTAAATGAGGCTGAATGAACTGTTTCGCTGCCAGACAAGGCTCCGCTGATAGCCAGGTGTAGCATCGGTAAGGTGTTGGGAAAGCTTTATGTAGGCCCTAACAGTTTGTGGGCACCATTTTAGTGCAATTAATGTATTGTTTAGTGTTGCGGCTTAGCTGGCATGCACCCCCCCATTTTTTGGGGGGACCCACCAAGATTGACATGCTAAAATTGCCACTGATTATGGATAAGAGCGAGAAAGAATATGTTTATTTGTCAAATGGCATTCAAGCATCGATCATCAGGTCACCAGAATAAGACCATCGATATTTATTGAAAATGTGCATCAAGATCACAGTGCACTTTCACCACCCAGTGAAGTTCATCATAATTTATTTCATCTGTAGCCTAATAAAGTGCATGGTTTCCAGAGTCATAGTGGGAGGTCCACACACCATATCATCGCGTGACTCCCAAGTTCACTTCGATATGATAGTTATTAGGCCTATATCAATATTTGCGCATAAAGGCATTTCCACCGCCATTTCTCGCATAATTCATTTTACCGACACAAAAAGATCCCTCCATGTCGAACGAACAAATGTTCTGTCGGCATTTGTAAAATTGTACCGAAACTTCCTGCGATGGAAACCCATTTAACTTTTATTTTTCATTCGGCACATGGGAATTTAACCGCAAAAGTAATTTTTATGTGCACAAGTCAATCTATCAACATCTGGAAATGCTTAATTGAGGACATATTCCTTCTATTCCAGGGCACAGCAGAGGAACTTCATAAATTCCCCTCCTTCATCAATACAAGCAGTGAACATCTGAAATTCACCCTCACCTTTGATGCGCATGAAACAAGTTTCTGGATATTTCAAATCAAATCAAATTGTATTTGTCACATGCGCCAAATACAACAGGTGTAGACCTTACAGTGAAATGCTTACTTACAAGCCCTTAACCATCAATGCAGTTTTAAGAAAAATAAGTGTTAAGTAAAAAATAGATAAGTAAATATGAAAAAATAAGAAAAATAGAAAAATAACAAATAATTAAAGAGCAGCAGTAAAATAAAAGTAGCGAGGCTATATACAGGGGGTACCGGTACAGAGTAAATGTGCGGGGGCACAGGATAGTCAACGTAATTGAGGTAATATGTACATGTGGGTAGAGGTAAAGTGACTATGCATAGATAATAAACAGAGAGTAGCAGCAGCGTAAAAAGAGGAGGGGGGGACAATGCAAATAGTCCAGGTAGCCATTTGATACGCTTGGGCGTAGAAGCTGTTAAGAAGCCTTTTGGACCTAGACTTGGCGCTCCGGTACCGCTTGCCGTGTGGTAGCAGAGTGAACAGTCTATGACTAGGGTGGCTGGAGTATTTGGCAAATTTTAGGGCCTTCCTCTGACACCGCTTGGTATAGAGGTCCTGGATGGCAGGAAGCTTGGCCCCAGTGATGTACTGGGCCGTATGCACTACCCTCTGTAGTGCCTTGTGGTCGGAGGACGAGCAGTTGCCATACCAGGCGGTGATGCAACCAGTCAGAATGCTCTCGATGGTGCAGCTGTATAACTTTTTGAGGATCTGAGGACCCATGCCAAATCTTTTCATTCTCCGGAGGGGGAATAGGCTTTGTCGTGCCCTCTTCACAACTGTCTTGGTGTGTTTGGAACATGATAGTTTGTTGGTGATGTGGACACCAAGGAACTTGAAGCTCTCAACCTGCGATGAGAATGGGGGCGTGCTCGTTCCTCCTTTTCCTGTAGTCCACAATCATCACCTGTGTCTTGATCACATTGAGGGAGAGGTTGTAATCCTGGCACAACACAGCCAGGTCTCTGACCTCCTCCCTATAGGCGGTCTCATCGTTGTCGGTGATCAGGCCTACCACTGTTGTGTCGTCGGCTCGTCTGGTAGGCTCATGTCACTGGGCAGCTTGCGGCTGTGCTTCCCTTTGTAGTCCGTAATAGTTTGCAAGCCCTGCCACATCCGACGAGCGTCGGTGCCGGTGTAGTACAATTCAATCTTAGTCCTGTATTGACGCTTTGCCTGTTTGATGGTTCGTCGGAGGGCATAGCGGGATTTCTTATAAGCATCCGGGCTAGAGTCCCGCTCCTTGAAAGCGGCAGCTCTACCCTTTAGCTCAGTGCGGATGTTGCCTGTAATCCATGGCTTCTGGTTGGGGTATGTACGTACGGTCACTGTGGGGACGACGTCATCGATGTACTTACTGATGAAGCCAGTGACTGATGTGGTGTACTCAATGACATCGGAAGAATCAAGGAACATATTCCAGTCTGTGCTAGCAAAACAGTCCTGTAGCTTAGCATCAGCTGTTCTATCTTGCCGATGCACCGAAAACCCCGCCAGCTGTATGTTATCCATGTCGTCGTTCAGCCACAACTCGTTGAAACATAAGATATTACAGTTTTTTATGTCCCGTAGGTAGGATATTCTTGATCGGAGCTCATCCATTTTATTATCCAATGATTGTACGTTGGCTAATAGGACTGATGGTAGAGGCAGATTACCCACTCACTGTCGGATCCTTACAGGGCACCTCGACCTACACTTCCGGTCAAAAGTTTTAGAACACCTACTCATTCAAGGGTTTTTCTTTATTTGTACTATTTTCTACATTGTAGAATAATAGTGAAGACATCAAAACTATGAAATAACACATATGGAATCATGTAGTAAAAAAGTGTTAAACAAAACAATTTATATTTGAGATTCTTCAAATAGCCACCATTTGCCTTGATGACAGCTTTGCACACTCTTGGCATTCTCTCAACCAGCTTCATGAGGTAGTCACCTGGAATGCATTTCAATTAACAGGTCTGCCTTGTTAAAAGTTAATTTGTTGAATTTCTTTCCTTCTTAACGCATTTGAGCCAAAAAGTTGTGTTGTGACAAGGTAGGGGGGGGGGGGGTATACAGAAGACCAAGTCCATATTATGGCAAGAACAGCTGTGCAGCGACGCTCCCCATCCAACCTGACAGAGCTTGAGAGGATCTGCAGAGAATGGGAGAAACTCCCCAAATACAGGTGTGCCAAGCTTGTAGCGTCATACTCAAGAAGTCTCGAGGCTGTAATCGCTGCTAAAGGTGCTTCAATAAAAGTACTGAGTTAAGGGTCTGAATACTTACGTAAATGTAATATTTCAGTTTTATTTTTAATAAATATGCAAACAATTCAAAAAACCTGTTTTTGCTTTGTCATTATGGGGTATTGTGTGTAGATTGATGAGGAAAAATAAACAATTTAATCCATTTTAGAATAAGGCTGTAACCTAACACAATGTGGAAACCTAGCTCCTGATTACATTGATTCTGCTCTTCCCACAACAGTGTATGTAGATTAGTAGAACATGGCCAAAAAGTTAATTATTGAGTAATTAGGGGAACCACTTGCATAGGATTTCACAGGCTTCTCTGGTCCTCCGTTTTGAAATACACAAGTTTAGTGGATAAGGAAGTTAAGCCTTGTCTGTCTGGATTCTTAATCAACAGTGGGAGGAATTCCTCACTATAATATTTAATAATAATGAATCTATAAACCCTTTCCTACCAAAAACGTCATGTTATATACCCTTTTGATCCCTTTCATAAAAATAAAAAAAATCAGAAGCAGAGTTGCAATGTATTATTAAAGTACAAGTAAGAGTAATCAGGTCAGATAACTACACACATTTTCAATTATGTATAAAAATTAAAAATAAACATTACACCTTATTCATTTTTCAAATGTTAATCACAGCATTTAACAGACTTTTCCCCATCCACCTATGCAAATACAAGATCATAGATTGATATGTATTATGGACAGACTGTGCATAATCTATCGTTTCCATTCTTCAACACATTTGCCATAAATGACCAACTATGTAAATAAATACATAGTATTCTTCATTTAACTGTTGAATCTGTAAATCCTTTCAAAGTAATAGGGCCTGTATTTAACCATCATTGCTTCAAGTTTTAAATTGTTGTGAAAAACTTCTACATCACTGTGACTAACCACTGAGGTCACTAGAACAATCATCTTGCAGTAAAACATTGAATACTGGAGTAATTTATATCTTTCATAATTTAGATAAATGTATTGGTCTATTTGAAATACTGATACAAATATTAGGCAGTAGTGAATCATTTTTTAGGCAAGATTGGTATCTTAAACAGTAGGATAACAGTAGTTGATAATAGTTACTGTGGCTGGAAAGAATTACACCATAACAGTTACACACATAGAAATACACATAACTAATTATACACGTATGAAATTATACACCTTGCAGTGCGCAAGAGACAACTGTTCCAAGAATGAAACATTGATCTTCAACTCTTTGGAGTTCAGTATTGAGTTCAGTACTAGGGCTAAACCTACTCCTCAAACCGTTTAGCTGGAGCGATGGGCCCAACATCCTCCTGGGTCGCCTTTGTGACACCACTGTCAAGAACGAGCTCTCCTGGGTGTTCATCTTCCTGTCAACAGACCAATAGAATGGATTAAAATATATACGCAAAACATACTAGAATTCCATCGGTGTATTGTCCTTATGCGTTAGTGTATTTGACAGAGAAGTTAAGGGGTTTTGCCTGACGATTCAAACTGAATTCTTCCGCTGCTCTATCGTTCGCTACATACTTCAATCTGAGACTGCCATCATTGAAATAGTTTGTGGTGACGTCAAAATGAGGGGTGTTGTACAAAACAAAGTCATCAACAATTAGATAATCTCTAACCAATCAGTGTATCAAAGCAAAAAAATAATTTTCGAAACGCTGCTTTAACCACGTGTGTTCTGGCTCTGGTCCAACCTATTGGTTTCTGGGACCAATCAGACAGTCTAGAATGGATTTCCATTCTAGAAATCGTCTGTGAGGTACTCAGATCTAGACTCATTGCGGAGAAGAAACTAACTTCCGGGTATTCCGTGGGCGTGGTGTACCGTTTGGCCGGAGGCCCGGAGCAAGGAGTTTGGGTAGCCAGGCAAAAGGGGGTTACGTTTCCCTATTGATCCCAATATCTCTCTGACTACAGTCCAACTTACTCTGTGTTTGAGGTAAGACAGGTAGGTGTCCCAACCCAGTGTTATTGTGTTCACATAAAGGACCCGGTATTGGGGTGAAAGGAAATAGAAGTTGATCAGCTGTGCAGCAGGCCAGACACACCAATCAGCCTATGGTAAGAAACAACACACGGTAACAATTAGACCCCAGTGTTCCAAATATCTTAACCTCAGTCAAATCAAACATCTGTATTCTCTAGTGTCATCATAGATATATCAACATAACATAAGGTGGTATAATTAAACAAGGAATACATTCTATATCATACAGGACTGTAGTACTTACCTTATAGAACTCCCAGAACTTGTCTTTGAATTCCAGAGCGCCTTTGGATAGACTGTGTCCCTCCATTACTCCCATGCCTGCAATAAACAAAGGTGAAGGATGGGTGCATTGACCGTATGAAAGTCTGGGATATCTACTAAATAATTAAACAGTATGTAGTCAGTATAAAAATGGAAACATAGGCTACAGATAACATCCAATCACCATAGTAAGGGTTTGGTACCCATTTAAATTGTTTGTTACCTTAATGCTGTTTGTCATATTCTTGGCAACCTTTGACCCCCTCTAACATCTAGTATTGACGTACGGTACACAAACCCTTTTCTTACCTCACTAGTGGCTTGATGCAATTGACCTTTGACTCCACACACACTTAAGATAAACACGCACAAGGCATTTCACATTCAGAACATTTCACCTCCGAGCCAATCCTAATCCCAAAGTGAAAACTCCTATAGATACACAAGACTAGTGAAGGCTGAAGGGGGTGTAGGCCTATTTGTTATTGCACTAAGACAATCAAATATTGCATATAAGAATGTTAATGCGAAAAATAAATTACACCTGGTATGAATGGAAGCCAAAAGAGCTTTTGCATGTTATTCTCACCTAAAAAGTACCAAGCTCCAAGGATTGGTGAGCAAACTAGCTGGTCCACTAGGACTTTCTTGCCTACAGTGTGCAAGGCTTTGCCAATGTAGATTTTATCCAGCCACGAATACCAGTAGTGGAGGACAGGTCCCATGGAGCAACCCACTCCAAACATGTGCCCTAGGGAAAATAGAAAATAAACTATTGACAGAAGTACCTCAAATGTATTTGTACATGTTCTCTGTCAAGGATAGGGTATCACGTCAGCTCTAGTATAAAACATTTAAAAAACATTGTGCCAAGAGCCCAATGCTTTAATGGCACAGATGCAGCCTAATATATCGGCACCACTTGCACTTTATAATAGAGTGCAATGGAGCAGAATGCTGTTGTTTTTTTTTCTTCCACAAAACTGTTTGAATGGCTATTTTATTTATTTTCTAAACAAATAAGTGTGAACACCAAAAGTTTTCAATTTCAACTTTCTTTAGAATAAATAGTTAATGGTGCATGGGCGCCAATATATTTGACCGCAACTGTACACAAATGGATATTCTCACCTGTGCGACTCCAGTCACGAATTTTCTGAGGATCTTTCCTTTTCTCCCTGGTTTGCTGTATGATATCTCCCAGAGACAACATAACACCTCCACTGAGAGTGTTTGTTAATATGAGCAACCTTCCTTGTAACAGTGGTTTCCAATAGAATGAAATCCGCACAAGAAAGTCTTTACCTCGAGGAATCACCATGATTAATTTGCAGGAGACCAGTCATCTGCAACGCATTAGCTAGCTAACTGTGGCTCGTGCCTGCCTGGTAAAGGTTGACCACACGCTAATCAATATCTTTGTTGAAAGTATCGAAGTCGAACCCATCTGATGTAGCAATTTAGCTGACACTGACACATTAGTTGAGTTAAAATAGTAATTAAAACGTAAAGTTGTCTGAATGACAACTGACTCACTTCCTCATCAACACATGTAACTTTATACGTCCGTGATGTAACTACCACAGAGTTTCCCTGTCTTCCTGGCAGATTTGAAGTCCTGAAATCACACACTGCCACCGCTACTGCCACCTAGTGTTGTCAGTTACATTTGTTGTTTTCAGGCCCTACCGCACTTGCAGCTAGCTAGTGGCCAGCTCAACAGTACAATAATTTTAGTTTATTTTAAATCTGTGAATTAGCTTGACTTACTGTACACTAAGGTCTATTGAATGTACAGTAACACTATTTATATAGGTTGGGGTGGGACAGAGTGCCTAAAGTAAAATACTTTTGACATGTAAAAAGTGTTTAGAGAGCACATTTGAATGTGTTGTGGTGTTCAATGAAGTATAGCGTCATCATGTGGCAAAAAAAATTGTTTAACTGTCAAAGGCCTTGTTCTATCTCTCCGAATAGTTTTATACAGAAGGCAGAAGAGCCAGACTGCTCCTGGGTAGGTAACAACACATCCGCCACGCTGATCCTCAACACGGGAGCCCCTAAGGGGTGCATGCTCAGTCCCCTCCTGTACTCCCTGTTCACTCATGACTGCATGGCCAGGCATGACTCCAACACCATCATTAAGTTTGCCGATGACACAACAGTGGTAGGCCTGATCACCGACAACGACGAGACAGCCTATAGGGAGGAGGTCAGAGACCTGGCCGTGTGATGCTAGGACAACAACCTCTCCCTCAATGTGATCAAGACAAAGGAGATGATTGTGGACCACAGGAAAAAGAAGAGGACCGAGCACGCCCCCATTCTCATCGACAGGGCTGTAGTGGAGCAGGTTGAGAGCTTCAAGTTCCTTGGTGCCACCCTAGTCATAGACTGTTCTCTCTGCTATCGCATGGCAAGTGGTACCGGAGCGCCAAGTATAGGTCCAAGAGGCTTCTAAACAGCTTCTACCCCCAAGCCATAAGACTCCTGAACATCTAATCAAATGGCTACCCAGACTATTTGCTCTTTTACGCTGCTGCTACTCTCTGTTTATTATCCATGCATAGTCACTTTAATAACTCTACCTACATGTACATATTACCTCAATTACCTCGACTAACCGGTGCCCCCGCACATTGACTCTGTGCCAGTACCCCCTGTATATAGCATCGCTATTGTTAATTTACTATTGTTATTTTACTGATGCTCTTTAATTATTTGTTACTTTGATTTATTTTCTTTTTTTTAGGGTATTCTTTCTTAAAACTGCATTGTTGGTTAAGGGCTTGTAAGTAAGCACTTCACTGTAACGTCTACACCTGTTGTGACAAATACAATTTTATTTTTATTTGACCTCTATGATAGTGGACATAGAGTGTTCTCCAGCATGTCAACCTGGGGAAGCTACAAATCAACTATTCTATTGGCACCTCTACTGTAGGCTGTGGCAGCCAGGAGCTGTAACCAGTGACGTCATCCTGTCTGAAATGTAACAGGCCCTTTCGGTCTCCATATGGGATATCGTATTGAAAAATGGGATCACAAGAGAAAATCAAATTAACCTATTCTATGGGGTTCTATTTGATGTGAGCCCTAGTGTAATAGTAAATAGCAACTTCGGCAATGTAGTAATGCAAATTCATCCATTACCTACCATCCTTGGGTTTAATCCAATGATTTAACCACAGGCTGGGAGGGTTTGAGGTCAATTACATATCTACAATTCAGCAATTACATTTCCAATTTGTTCTCTTACATTTCCAATTTGTTCCCAGATTGGGTTTGCAAAGCCACGGCTGTCCTTCCCTCGGCTCCTCGTCCATTCAGAGGGGCAGACACTCTCCTAGTCCCAAATCCCTGCTATCATTGTTCAGAATAGTTATGGGATCAGAGATACTGTACCACCGGTTTCTCTCCTCATCACTGCCCAGAATAATTATAAATGTTTTACATTTCAGTAGACGCTCTTATCCAGAGCAATTTACAGGAGCAATTAGGGTCCCTTGCTCAAGGGCATTTCAACAGATTGTTCACCTAGTTGGCTCAGGGATTCAAACCAGCGACTGTTCAGTTACTTTTAACCACTACGCTACCTGCAGCCCTATCCAATCTATATCCATTACAACAAAATAAACAGTGTAGGCTACAATCAATTATTGCAATCTGTGGTAGACTTTACATGATCCAAATAAATAATAAGTAATAATAAGTCCCAACCTACACCTACAAATTATTTACACCAGGGATATCATTATTAAAATAAATTGAAAGAGAGATAATACAATGCTTTCGTTATTATCAAATGCTGTTGTTGAAGATCATGGCTATGTAAAGTCATTCGATTGATGATTTCCTGACACTCTTTTGTAATAAATTATAGAGAAGCTCAAGCTAGGAGGATAAATAATAAATTGGGCTGGGTTTAACACATCTTGAATATTTTAGGACGTTTCGGTGATCGTGGTCCAGGATTAGTGGCTTGAAATATCAATCAACCCACACCAACATTGAGGTCCGGCCCACCTCAGTCGTGAACTGTCTGTCAGTCATATAACGTTGGTGTTTATGCAGGTGCTAGACGCGGTGGTGCATTGGTGTAATAAGAGTCTAAAATAAATATTTAAAGGTAAGGAAATTATGCTATTCTTCATTTACATTATATCATCATACCTGGTGTAGAGCTACGTTTGTTAAGGATTTCATATGGAAATGCGCTGACAAAATAGAATAAAGGAGGAACAATAACCTTCATTTGACATAATATGCTTGCTTTAGAGAGAAATGTAATTGCATTAGCATAGACATATAATATTCTATATGGGTTGCTTACAATTATGCCGTAATGTATGACATTTCAAGCCTCGAAAAACAAAAGCATCCGCAGGACAAGACGACCTGTCAAAATTCCTAAAATAGCCCAGAGGTTACAGTAGCCTGTCTAGTTCGCGATACTGTATCAGTATCCATAATTTGTAGTGCGAGACAATTCTTACATCAAGGAAACAATGTATAATTTACGTGAATTGATATCAAGCCTGCCATATGGAAAATCCAATGCTCTGTAGATAGGTAGGACACGGGTCGCTCTGTGCTCTCAAAGGGAACGAACCATGCAGGAACGACCGTGGTCGTCTTTGGTCGTACAGGCTGAATGGCATTACAATGTTCTTTCTGTAGTCTATTTAAATCCTTGATGTCTTCATATAACCACGGCTTTGACAGCACAAAACCTATAGAGAGAATCATAATGCTGTGTGTGTGAATGGGACCACATCAGCAAGCAGCGGTGGGGGCCTCTTGGTCAGTTAGCTATTGAGTGTTATGTCAGGACAGCTCAGGCACCGTCTTTGAGCTTTGGGATGATGATGATGCATTGTAAAAAAAAACAAAAAATCTAAATTGTATATGAATTGTCAACATAGCACTGCAGGCTATGTTAAATTTGACAGTTAATAAGAAACACTGATCTAAAACTGGCTACTTGAGCATTTTACATGTTAGATTGGGACCATTTGAAATAATCATAAATTGAATGCAAGAAAGTAGATATACTATACTATATGATAAGAAATATGTGAGCAGTTTGGCTACTAGGCCTACTATACAGATTGTATGACAGATATGATGTGGCTGGTCTATTCAATGTTACAGGAGGGCTATAGTATTGCAAATATGATTTATTGAGTCCCATGGCAATATTATATACATGCATCATCTAAATGTGTGTGAGCCTTTACCTTAAATATACTTTAAATATATTATACTCCAATGTTATTGCTGGACTCTCTGGGGGAAAGGCATCCCAGAAAAAGTATTATGGAATCTTCAATGTTTAATGTTTTAATAGTGGCCACTGTTGCCTGTTCTACAATATCCATTAGATTGGCCCCCCGTGTAGCTCAGTTGGTAGAGCATGGCGCTTGCAATGCCAGGGTTGTGGATTCGATTCCCACGGGGGGCCAGTATGAAAATGTATTCACTCACTAACTGTAAGTCGCTCTGGATAAGAGTGTCTGCTAAATGACTAAAATGTAAAAAAATTACACTGCAGCAATTTTGGTTTCCTCCCATCCCACGAAAACAAAAACACCTCCCAGCCCCACTCTCCTAATTGCAGGCTTACATTGTGATTCTGGCAGGTTCATGGTATCTTCTGCTCTAAAATGAGGGAGGGTATGCTATATTTAGCTCCTTCTCTTCTTAGAAAAGGGGAAATGTGATTGGATGGGGGAAAATACCATCTTAGGCAATCTTCTATCAGGATGTTTTGGTACCCAGGTTTGTGTCTCACTATGAATTCTCATGTGATTTGATTCAGTCCACTGTCAATTGAAAGTTTATTTCCCTCTTATGCTTAGTTTTCCACTACCCATGTAATGAAGCATCACTTTTTGTTACATTAATTCAACACATCCTTGAAGCAGAATGCAGGGAGTTGTCTTGGAAATGTCTGCTGTGTGTGTCTGTTCTGGAGTATAATTTCTCAGTTTGAGCAATATGTTTGACAGATGTTTATTTTACTGGGCAAAGTCACTTCACTGTAGAGCAGTGGTTGCCAACCTTTTCCGCCCTGAGGACCACCATTCGCATTATCTTGGAGATCATATGTAGCACATTTTTGCAGTGAATGTAACAAATTAAAGGTGTATTATTATTAACAATTTGCAATGTGAAAAGTAATGTAAAATTGCTTATAATACCATTAATACTCCCAACTGTTATTCATTTTGGAAGAAAATAAATCAAATCAAATCTGCAGTCCTCATGCCTCCTTGCAGCATGCCTAAGGCACGTTCACACAGATGAGCAGGGACCCTGGGCATCTTTCTTTTGGTGTTTTTCAGAGTCAGTAGAAAGGCCTCTTTAGTGTCCTAAGTTTTCATAACTGGGACCTTAATTGCCTACCGTCTGTAAGCTGTTAGTGTCTTAACTACCGTTCCACAGGTGCATGTTCATTAATTGTTTATGGTAGTTCAGTTGGTAGAGCATGGTGCTTGCAACGCCAGGGTTGTGGGTTCGTTTCCCACGGGGGGGCCAGTATGAAAATGTAAACTAAAAAAATGGGCCGGACAAAGTTATTGGCACCCTTTCAAAATTGTGGAT